TATATATATATATATATTATTTCAATCGTAATTATGATTGCGTTTCTCGTCTGATAGTAATCGACGCGTAGTTTACATAACTAAGGTTGGATTGTTCTATCTTTTAATAAACTTCAGTTCACTGTCTTACTCTCTTATGTTTTTACTCCTTTACTCTTTTGTTTATCCAATAAGTAAATTACAACATAGTTTATCTAAAGATGGAACAACCGGCCCTAAAAGATATATTTAGAATTTACATACAAATATATTATAAAAGGGTAATATATGATGCTCAATTGAGTAAAACAATTACAACTAAAATGTAATGGCCTACCAGCAAGAAGCTAAATTTTGTTTGCTAATATTTAATAATCTGAATTCAGAATTTCAATAATAAACAAATCCATGTTAATTTACTGTAAGCAAAGGCTATAATACCACATATTTCCATCAGTAATTAATATATTAACATAAATTTTTGTTTTTAACTACTTTAATATGTGTAGATAACAATAAGAGATTTCATTAATGGATCTAAAATAGTTGACTTTTGGCCACTTTTTCGGATTTCTATCCCGCGATGGATACTTAAGAATAGAGAAATAATAGGATTCACATCAAGATATGCGTTGGACATATACATATATTCTGAATACATATGTAATGTAATTGAAATTTAATAATTTTATTATATATGTATTAATTTTGATTAGATATGTAATGTAATAAAAATGTAATAATGTGTATGTGCAATATTACTTGAGTCAACAGAAGCATGCTTCATTAAGGTTAATTTGCGTTTGAAACTGTTTTTTGTATTAATTTGTCTATTCAACATTGAAAGTGATCGAAAAGTCTGTTGGAATGTTTAAATAGATTATTAAATATTAGCAAACAAGATCTAGCTTTTTACTCGTAACACTTTACAAATATATTATACCTATTAGACATCAAATCTAACCTGGGTTGTATTGACCGTTTCCTTATTATCTGCATATGCATATATGTTATAAACTGGGATTTTTTGATTAATCATAAAAGACTATATTATGAAATAATTATTAGATATAGAAAAAACGACAATTAATTCCATGACGTTTATATCATCGACAAAGATTATACGCATGTATACTTAAATGCATATAATTAATATTACCTTGTTATTTTTACATTATTAAATCTTCAATAAACATACTATCAAAATATGCGATGATAGTCGCTTACGAAATAAAGGCATAGAAAAACAGTAAAGAAATCAACACAAAGGATTAATTGCTATATTGCTTACGTTATGATCTTATAATCGGTTTGTGATTGGCTAATTTATTGCATTTTATTGCTTACATTTTACTATTTAAATTTTTTTGTATGCCATAGCTGTAAGCGCAGCGATAGAATCGATCGGCACCACGGAAAATTGATATAATACTTCAAATATTAATTTAACATATCTTTGATAAAAAAATTTAATAAATAGATATTAGAATAATTATTACAGATATTTAATTCAGATAGTTTTTTTTTATATATATATATACATATTTCAATAAATACAGTTAAAGAAAATATGTAATAATTGTATAAATATTTACCTAATACTTCAAAACAAATTGCGTTGTTTATATTAAAGGAAGTAACAATACCAATAGTGCCAAGAGACATTAAAAAGACGAATCCCCAGAAAGTAGTAGATGTATACAAGCAGTAATCATTTTCAAAATTATCACAGGTAACATTACAATTTTCTGTTCCTTGACATAATGCCGTTTCGTTAAAATTTAATAAACATGTAGTATTTGGGGAAATAACTGCTTCGTTCTCAGAAGAAGTAGCATAAAAAGATAGTCGAACGGAAAATTTTGTGTCTCTGCATGTCCAGTGACATTTAGTGTTCTTTGTATCACATAATAATGCTGTTGAGTTCTTAAATAGAAACAAATAAATACTTTTAAATATATTTTTAAACGTATAGTTTAAAATGTTTATTAAAGTCATTATCTAATAATCAAATACTATTCAAGGCTTATTACTTAGAAACTAATAAAATATTTTAAAACATTAATTTCTTTAATATTTTGAATAATATCTACAAAAATATTTTCTAACTATAGATAGGAAGAACGAATTTAATCTTAAAATATATATATTATCAAAATCATAATTTTATAAAAAAAATAGTTTATGAAATAAATATACAGAGGAGATCACATATTGCAGAAATATTATTGTTATTTATCGAAAATAATATGCAATTGTAATAAAATAAAGGCTTACAAAGTTTATATCGCAAAATGATAAAATCGCACAAGAAACATTTTCAAACTGATGGTCTGGTATCATTGGTCCCGGTAATGGTGGCAAAAAGTATATCAGAATACAGGAACCGTATGAAACCACAAGTATAAACATAAAGATTAACTTTTTTTGTGTTTGAAAATAATCCATGATAAAACCAATTGTTGGTTTAGTAATCATATACACAATGGGTAAAATGGCAGTGATGCTACCCATTATTAATGGAGAAACACCGAGTTGTTTACCGTAAACAGGTAAAAATGGAAAAATAGCAGCCATAGCTGGAATAAGAATAATTAGGTTATACATTACACTTATATTTGTGTAGTGGATTAATGGGACTAAAACTAATTTTCAATATTTTTAAATTCATCGTAATGTGTATTTCTTTAACATGATCTGTATATATTGTATATGTAGAGTTATAAAAGATATGAAATCTTTTATAATGTAAAATACATTGTAATAATATTTTAAATATTTTAAATTAATGTAATAATTACTTATAGTTATTGGAATATGTGATATAATTCGTTTCATGATTTACTTACCTGCATGAAAAAAAAAATAATGTGCTTTTAGAGGCAGTAGCACGTAATTAATTTTCATAATTGTAGTTGATATAACAAATATGTGCTCCAATTTTTATGCTTTTCTCTAAAAACTTGCTAAATTATTATTATGTTAGAGTACTGATATTTATACGTAAGATTGAAAGTGTATAAAAATAATAATAAACATTATGTAAAAATTTATACATGTATATCATGCAATAATAATATAATAATAAAAAAAATATTAATAATATATTATAAATATTTAATATTTTTAAGACAAATATAATATTATCTCTATGAAATAGGAAAGGACTCCGTTTGCCTATAAATTAATTGCCAACAGTACTGTTTGCCGATTACATTCCATTTACTGACAGTTCGTTTGTGTATAAAAAATATCGTTTATAAAAGATCTATTGCTTACAAGTACTATAATGCTTGTAAAGTGTAAACAATAGCTATTACGTACAAGCTATGTTACACACACATAATTTATTACAGATGGATTATCTACAAATTCTATTGCGCAAAAATAAAAAATTCAGAGATGGCGTCGTATTTGCACTCACGACATTATTGCGTACAAAGCTACGTAGTATACATATGATATACATATAACATATCGATACCTACAAGCTGTATTGTGCACAAATAAAAAATTAATAGACAAAGGCACGTTTACACACATTTAATTATTATTGCCTACAGACCGTAAGATGATCGAATGCAAGATTATTGTACACATTAATCCTCTGTTAGTTATGTAAAATTTTGTATTTTCCGTTAGAAAGTTAGATCTTTAAACGCTTGAGTTAAATTTGTATACTGTTTTGGATTATATAAACATTAAAAAATTTTTTGTAAAGCTTTAACAATAAACTTTTACTGTCATAAAAGTCAGTCAGTAGTTTATTAATTTTTTTACAGATTTAAGTTTGTCTGTCAGAACTCAGAAAAAAAAATCAACTTGTCTTCAAACCAGCGGAAGATTAAGGCTGCTTGATCCTTTCCCACACAGCAGAAATATTCTAAGTGTATCATCGGAATATATCGGATATCCTATAGATATTGCGATACCTTTGTCTCTACGATATAACTTGGACATTTCTGTGTGGGTTGTCCTTCAGTATACGAGTTATAACGTCAGAAGTAAAATATCAAATTTTTTTTTTGCAAAGTACGTCAGAATAAAACATTTGTTTCGTATGTTATCATTCACATCAACTAATACGGAATATTATACAATAAGATTTTAAAAGAAAAGCAATATTGGAACATAATTATGTAATTTGTATCAAAAGTTCATACAATGTATTGAATCAAATGATTTCAGAAAATTAAGAAAATAGAAAAATTCAGGAAATAAACATTTAATCATAATGTGAACTGCTTTCAAATAAAATATTCTTTCAGTTAATAAAATTCTTTTGTTTGTAATACACTTAGATACGTGTATCTGTAATATTTTCATAACTTTTTTATTATTAAAAAAAATGTGTAATACATCCTTAACTTATAACAAACGGAGCTCTCTCTTTTAAATGTTTGAATATTCACTATATAAAATTTTTTTGTATCAAATATAAAAATAAATTTATACTCACTAATGCAATCTACTGAAACTTTCAATCGCGTCAATGGATATAACACGATAAACACAACTGCTACAACTGCGATATATGCATGGAACATGCCTTTTAACAATGTTTTCTTACATTAGCACTTTTACATTATTAAACGAAATAATTGTTCCATAAAACATTATCCATCGTTATCTACATATATAAATTTACATAATTTATATGTACATCATTTGAACTTAGTTACACGTTGTACATACTATATATAACATGGAAAAATTGGAAAAATTCGGTTTTTTCCCGATCCTTTAAAACTATGTGTGAACGTATAAATGCGTAGAGCTATTAGTATAAAAAATGTTCAGTTACTGTCTTCACATTTCGGGAATTTACCGAAAACTAAAACAATAACTATTTAACATCGCAATAAATAAGTAGTTGATTTCAGTGACACGTGTAAGTTCAACAATAGGACATTTAGTATTGCTCGATCTTGTGTGTGTGTGTGTGTGTGTGTGTAATATGGTATTAAACATATAATATATTTCAAGTAAATATAGAAATTTATAGACTTCTTAAATTAATACAATGATAATAACAAATAAATGTATAACTATAGGCGTTAGGAATCAGCGCTAGATATTATATTGTACAAAGCTAACTAATACCTATTCATAAGTAAAAAAATTCAATTTGTACGTTTCGGTTTACTATTTGAGCCATCCTCAGCAATAAAAAATTGTGTTTGCTTCGAGGAAGGCTTAAAAATGAGCCGAAACATGTAAGCGCGTTTGTTAAATAAAGAAGTTTCAAGCTTCATAAGTGTATTATTTGCGCGACATCTTCTGCGCCTGACTCCTAACGCCCGTATTCTTTCCAATTCTTTGATTTATAAGGAGTCTTTAGTTTTTTTTATGTTACGTCCTGGGTCGCGTGTTTAGTATTAATGCGCTCCGCGCTCGCGCTTCCACGATTTTATGTCGCGCCTCGAGACCGCATTAATACTAAACACGCGACCCAGGACGTAACATAAATAAACTAGGTTAGTTTGATTTGTTATACGAATTTACATATGGATAAGTTATAAAAAATTAGACTAAAGTAAGTGCATTGAGATAAACAATAATAATTAATAAACGTAAAATATCTTTTACAGAAAAGCGAGATTAATAAATTATATGCTCTACGCTAAAATTTTTATTATCATTTCATTAGTAAGATGTACACAAATAAGTGTGAAACAACAGAAAGAATTTCTTAGAAAACAGTTTATACGTATGTGTGTATATAGGTATCGCTCTTCTGCACCAACTTGTATAAAACTTAATTCTGAATGAGTATTTGAGGATAGGATAGATAGGAAAAATAATGAAACAATATTTATTAAATTGTAATAAACACTTTTTTATATAATGTATCCATAGTCACAACTTACAAATAACATTATTTTTTTATAGTAATTAAACAATTGGCGAAAGTAAATTTACAATTACAGTTAAATTTATAGAAATCTTTACATCTTAATTCGCCAACAAATTTCATAACATTCTTCTTAAGTTATTTTATTGATATGTATAAAAATTTAAATATTATGGTATATTACCATTATGTTATATGATATTACAAAAATTTGTACATTTACATAGAAATTATAAAATATACTATTATTATTGTGTAATTTTTTGTCAAACATAAAAATATATTTATACGCAATTAGAGATAAAAGTATTAATTTTTATTAAAAAAGCACAATTTTATATATTTCCATATATTATTTTCATACCTATTTTTCAAGTAATTTTACATACTTTTCTACATTGTATGACTCGAATTGGTGCGTCTCTTTAAATTGTATTGCACAGTTGTAATTTACCTGTACGCGTTGCCACTCAGACTGTACGGATTATCGTAAAGACCATCCTCGGGGACGTTTTCGTATTCATGATATTATGCGTGCCGTCATTCAATGTCACGTAAGACATGACGGCGGCGTTTTGATCCTCCTTTTGTTCCGCAACTTGAACATTTTCGGTATTTTTGACCGGCTTTTCTGCGAATATAATTCGTAAATATGTTTTGAACAAAATGTGCATATTATCTCGAGAAACAATACTCACAGCCTAAGATAAATTAATCCGAGGATAATTAATATAAAGATAATAACACCAGCTCCAATGCCAACGCTCGTGCCTACACTTTGAGGTTCTACTATCTCATTCGTAGCCACTGCAAACGACAATCATGTACCTGATTCAAATTTTTCATCATACTTATTTCCTAGACGCGTAAAATAAACAATTCGTAACATTAATGACGTTAAGTTTATTTTAAGTAATCTGTTGCCAGTGGGTCTTTGATGAAAGATTTTTTTAATATTTAGTTTTTAAAAAACTTTGGAAATTAGCCGATAAAATTTCAAGATTTTTCGTAGTATAAAAATATCATATCTCAAAAACGATATTATTTAGATATATATTTCAAAGATGTGATATCGATATCTTATTTACATTCGCATTTTGGCTCCTCGCCGCTCCAGTATTCTGTGTTCAAATATTTTCTTAAAAATATGCCGATCCTTTCGTACTGCGATAGGCAGTGGTACTCTGCGGCTCCTCCGTAAGTTGTCGATCCATTCACTACTATTACTCTACCGTTCTCTATTGGTCCCGGATGCTTACAATCAACCGCTAAAAAGATATTGCGAATGAATGTTTAATTCTTCTAGTAGTTCATCATAATACTTTAGATACATATTTATTAATGTATTATTATACGTATATAAAATTATTTATATTGGGTGATATATAAAATTTAATGTCTTCAAAATTTATTCACAAAATACTTTTTATTATATTCATGTATATAACAGGAATTTTGATTATGAAGATTATTAATATTTTTTACTAAAAATATTTATTATTAAATTTTAATAAATAGGCTGCCAGAAATTGAAATTGCAACACCAAAAAATAGATATCTAATTAGAACGAAACTCTTTACCATTCACAGAATAATATAAATAAATGATTAAAATTTTAGAAAATGTTTAGTATGAACTTTTAAATCTTTGTGGATGGGCAGCTCTGTTTGGGACCATCTCCTTTTATTTAGTATATATATGTATATTACTTGTTCGATATATTCAATGCATAATATACAATAGACGTTGCGATCCTACTGCGAATCCTTTTCAATATGACAAAACGATTATTAAAATATAATTAAAAATGTTTGGTCATACATTTAAAAATTGAAATTTAAAAAACCGAATTATGTAACATGTGGCCGTATTTTGTGATGTAGACGTATAAGGATAATATGTAAATGTCAGAACTCTTGTTGATTTTGTTTGGACATTGAAGGAAACAGAATGTATAAGTGGAAATATTTATTATAAATCAAAGCTTATACATATATGCATGTCATTAAATAACAATATGTTTGCACCTGAGAGCTACATTACGCTTCGAAA